CCCAGGACCTGCGGGGGAGAGGAAGCTCGCCATATAAAGTCAGAGGAAACCTTCAGGAGGGAAATGAGCATGAATATGTGGCGGTGGGGGGTCAAGATACTTTGAAACTGCTGATGGGATTCATGTTGCGCTCGCTTGCTGCTCTCACATTTTCAAGGATTTCAGACTGTGGAGGCTCCAAACAGAAACAAGTGTAGGCCTGTCACGATAACAAATTTTGCTGGACGATAATTGTGCTACAAATTATCGCCGATAAACAATATTATTGACACCGTTTTTTAAATTATAGATAATGATATTAAATGGCATAATAATGCGAGTACACCGTGTCAAAAGTGATAAACTTTAATTTTACCCATGACGAAGACGTAACGTTGACGAGCTTAACATAAGTCGGAGATGACTAAAATGTGACGAGACAAAAGTGCGTTTACGTTGATGGGACGAGACGAAAATGACGAACAGAGTTGCAAAACTCTGTCAGTTAAACGCTAAACATATAGGAGCAGCTTCAGTCCGCTCTGACAGCTCTCATTAGCCTGCTGTGCTCCTCCAACACACAGACACACACGAGCGCGCGCACACACACGTGGAGTTTTGTGGTTGACGAAAACAAAACTGGTTTAAAGCCGAAATATTCCCACACTTGGGCTGTTGCGTTCGGTTAAGACACCAAAGCTGTCGTGTTCATTCAGTTAGCTTGCTTTTCACTCACGACGCTCACTTGCAGCACTGTATCCAAAAAGTCTGTGTCTGTGTGCCTGTGCGCGCCTACGTGTACCTGTGCGCGCGCCCCCCCCCGTGACAAAGACACTGAATGACTAACAGGAGGGTTCACTAACTCCGTTCATTCCGCTATAGAGCCAACGCCCCCAGGTGCCGAGAAAAATGCGCAGAGTGAGACCTCTTCTCTCATCCAGCGTGTTTGGTAGCGAGAGAGGAGGAAAACAAACGCACGTAAATTATCGAGGCTGGCAAAATGACCGACCTCGTTTTTATTTACCGAGCGATAAGGCGATTTATTGATTATCGCGACAGGCCTAAACAAGTGTTTCTGATGCTGCAAAGGAGGAACAAGAAAACTGCAGTTCCTTAAATGTCCACTTGAGGCTGGCTTCAAGAGAAACGCAGACTCCATTTACAGCCACATTAAAATGTCCATTATGATAACAAAATTAGCCTTAAAGTCATGGCTGACGATCTGAGAAGCAGCTGAAAAAAACTGACTTCCCGACTCGAGCAATCACGCTCGTTGTTCGGAGACAAATGTCAGACCAACTATGATTGGATAGAAACATCACGTGGTAAAAGATGCCTTTAGGGTTCGCAAATAAAAAACTGAAAAATAAAGTGTCTGGCAGACTGAGACTGTTGCACCACACATTCATGAAACTTTCAAATTATCGTACATTTAGACTTTTTTCTGGGTTATTGATTGTACATCGTACAATACAATAACTATTATACACCTGATGACACCTCCTCTGAACCCAGTGGCACATCCCTCAGTTTGTTTACACTCACACTTAAGCTCAGTTCGGCGATTTAACTGGACTACAGTCTTTGACCCAAATAATCAGATCATGAGTATTTGATAAAATGACTGAGAGACTGTGTTATCTAATGTTGGTTTGCAGATTCATGCGACCAGTTACTGGTATTGATGCTGCGTACAGTCCCTGCAGTGACTGATCACAGCTGTTGGAGGACCGCGCTGATACACCACTATCAGTGGAATTGCATCTTTCATCTCATTGACAGCTGCAGTGATTGGTTTCACTGTTTCTGCACCAATTAAAGGTTAACTATTAGATGGAGTTGAATTGTAGGCGCTCATGCAAGCAGCACAACCATCACAGTTGCATCTGTTTAATCATATTTGTATTAGTCTGACTGAAATGGCTCTCAATCAGATTTCTCATAGTTGGACGAACATGGTGCAGTTGGGGGTCAATTTTCTCCAGTGTTTGCAGACAAGACTTTGAGATGGAAGTTGCAAATGTGGAAATGCATCTAAGGCAGGGGTGCACACACTTTATCAGCATGAGAGCTTCTTATGAAACGACCAAGTGAAAATGATCTACCTACGAAAAAATGCTTTTCGGAGGGAACTCGGTGTCGCTCCACATTTCCCTTCTTCGGTATATCAATGGCAGACTGACAGACAAGGCAAATGCACTTCAAAATGACAGTGTAGAAAAAAAGGCCTCCTGCCTCTTCGTATGGAAGTGGTAGGCTTTGGGTGTCTTACTTGGTCCAGCTCCTTCACTCATTTTCACCCCCTTTCTCACTCACTAGTGCCGCATATGTCTGAAAAGGTCAGATGACCTGCTGCCCTGTACGTCAATCAAATGACAAATTTCATCGTGGGGACGAATGATAGACTGATGTCTACTCACACTACCTTTCGACATAATGGGCCCCCCTGATCTAAGGTACGACTGCAGCCTCTAACTTTGCATGCCCAGTTCATCTGGACCGGCTCTGTCTTCGGTAAACGTTTGTTACGAGCGTCTACACAAGAGGACTACCAGGTCATTCCTTTAAAGAGTCGAGATTAAGCTGATGTTCCTAAGTTTTACTCATTCAGATATAATGCGGCTAAGCGGAGGGACAAGTGTTACTTTTACTTTACTTTGATTTGATTGCGAGTTTCCCTCCACTCTCGCTCTCAGACTTCACATTCTTCCTTTTTAATGCGATTTTTATTGCCGCCGACTACAGAAAATAGAAGCACTTAGGATGTAATAGTACTGATAATGGATCATAAAGCCATTGAACACCATTATAATATCAGGTGACTGTCATTAGAGGTGTGCAGAGATGATCAGAGCAGCAGGGGAGCTGGACTCCCCCTCCTCGTAAATGTCCTTGGACCGAACGATCCCCCTCATTGTCTCTCCTCATTCCTCCTCCTGCTCCTCTTTCAGGTGTTTTTCCTCTCAGCTTGCCTAATGATACATGCTAATTGTTTCTAAATGGGTTTTTTGTGCCGGTGCACCTTCTCTCCCTTGGACTCTATTATATCCGTTGGACCATGAAAATCCCAAAATTCACACGGAGGACGGTCAGACGTTCGAATCGATACATCCAAGTACAACCGCAGAGTTACTGGAGGCGCTTTGGGCTTTTCTCATTCAAGCTTCAAGTAGTTAGAACAAAGAAACCCGTAATGCCGGCGCTCACTTCACAGCCTTATAATAAACTGCATGAGCACATCACGCTGGCAGCACAGCCCACGCCAAATCGAACAGACGGCCCCGTGTTTTTTGTGTTTTCCTCAGCCAGGGCGCATGAAGAGGGAGACAATGAATGAATCTGAAGATGAAACGCAGGAACAGTTGTTCGCTTTGTTATTAGGTTTATGGTTATAATTACTTCTGCAGAACATCCCAGCACCATATGGCGCATTGTAGCGCTTCCATATCCCTGCGTGGTGCATGACATTATCTTTTATTCCGTGCCTTGTTGGCACAGACACGACAGGAGTGGCGCCAAGTCACAGCGCTTCGAACAAAGCCTGCAAGATTAAAGGAAGAAGGAAAGGAGGGATTTTGTCGTGTTTGACGCAGGTATCCACGTTCTAAGATTACAGAGCTCTGTCGTGGTTTGAATCCCTCCACGCAGGTTCCTCCAACGCACCCCCACGCTCTGGTGGTGCTCCATGAATTCCCCTTATTGCCGTTTAATGGAGATGGGTTCCCAAACAAATGAGCACCCTCTGCCTGGCTCAGCACCTCAGGTTCTCATTAATCCGAGCGCCGAGACGCTGATGGCACTAATTTTTCAGACTAAGCGGCGCCTGCGTCTCAGCGCTCCGCGGCACTCCCACAACCAGAGAGAGTTTCAATCAGAGACGCAGCCCAAAGGCAGAAAGGTGGAGGTGTTGGTGTCACACCTGCTCTGTTGAACGCGCTCCCTCGCTGTTGGAAATCTCCCCCCGCAGAGCCCATCTGCGTCTGCGGGGGGAAGCTCAAAGTGAAGCGGTCGTGATGAGAGTCTCTGCCTCAGAGTTAAAAATGAGACGATAAGGAGAGACGTGAGTGCAAATTACATCTCAAACGAAATGTCTCGAAGCTTTAATTCTGACAGAGGTTTTCTTTTAGTTTCAGTAGCATAAAAAGGAAAAAATAGATTACTGTGAACAATGTTTAGACATTGGAGGAAGACATAAAAGGTCATGATAGTCAAAGATTTGCAAAAAAGAGGCCTGAAAGAAAGAAAACCCAAACATAGCTGCACATTTATGAAGAGTGTGGCGCTCAAAGTTCGGCTGTTGGTCGTGCAGATGTTCACGTGTTCACATATCGCTTCATTAGCTGTAACGCCATCACCCCCCTCCTCCTCAGTGGCACTAAAACAAGCTCACTTAAGCAGTCCTTCCTCATCACGACAGCCTCTTCCTCGACTCCGGTCACCGTGGTAATTACGAGCGAGTCAGAGCCGGGTCCCTCAGGGAGTCCCTTAACCGCTTCACAGTCACGGAGCACAGGATTCCCCCAGGGACTCGGAGACACGGGGAGCAACAGCGGGACTGATGGTGCTTTTTGACATCTATTATGAATTTACATAGATTTTAATACGGGCTGGTGGGGGGGCTGAGATGTGGCCTACTTTAGAGACACGAGGAGGAGACCCTGCAGCGTGGATGAAACGGGGTGATCACGATCAGACCTTTGCTGCTGGACTCTGGGGTAAAATCCTCCAGGGACTGAGGGGCTGGGATGTGAACGATCAGGTGTGGAGACACATGTGGTCCTCCATATGGATCCCTACAGGAGCGAGGGCGTGAATCGATCCGGTTCCAACCAGAGTGGGTGTTTGTTTACGACACTTTGTCCTGAACATCTGGTAAAGAGGGCAGGATAACTTATGTCGTGTTTTTATTATCGGTCTGTAGACGTGGTCTGCAGACTAAGATATATGGAGCGTGGCGTTAATATGTGTCACGTTGTATTAAACGCCACAGTGAAATGTAGGGGTGGGAATCTTTTACTGTCTCACGATTCGATTCCGATTTTTGGAGCCACGATTAAATAAACAGAATAGACAGAATAAACCCTCGTTCTCTGTAGGGCTGTAGGTCTTTGGTGATGAAGCAGGCGATAGACGGGGTTATTTTTTTTTTTTGCCCGCTCGGAGCTGGCGAAGAGCTTCTTGAAGCTCTGCAGCGTGCGTTGGTCTGCAGCTGGCGGCCGAGTCCGCTCCATGTTTCTCATCTCTGGGTGGTACCTCGTGATGTGAGCCCGCGCATTTGTCGTGTTGCCGAAATGCTTGATTCTAGTTTTACACACACACTGCGTGCGTCATGTCCAGCTCAGTGTGTCCGGGCATTCGGTAAAATCCGAAATGACGCCGAACGTTAGCTTTTAGTGAAGACGGGGCCGGCTGGATCTCCTTTTCCTCCATAACTTTATTTCCCTCTTTGTTTTGGTGCCTTCTGCGCATGTGTGCGTTCCAGAACAGGCTGCGTGATGACGTCAGGATATCATCACGTAGTTCCAAAATGGAGGCAGACAGGTAGCGGATATTTAATCTTTCGAATCGCGATTCTTGTGTGAATTGATTTTTTTGGTGCACCCTAGTAAACCTGATTTAAAATCGATTTCCTGTTGTTTTTTTTTACGTGTTTACAGGGATGTTTCCGAGTTTGTGAGCTCTACATGTGTAAAAAGTTATCTGGGCAGACTCGCTCTTCCACGGTTATCATAAATCAAGTTGATGCACTTATCGTTTAAAGAAGTCGCCCCCTGCTGGTCATCAGAAGTGATAGACGTAGAGTTGTCTGTTTTGAAGCCGTCTTCGGTGTTTTTCTCCCCAGTTTGTCAGCTAAAACGGGTTTGATTTGTGTTTTTCTTCATCTGTCTGATGGATGTTCACCATCTGCTCGTTTACTAAAGATCTGATGATCTCTCAGCGTGAGCCGTCACGCTGCGTTTCTTCATTGTCGGTTTCCCTGCTTCCCTGATTCACCGTGTGTTTCTGAACTCCTCCGAACGGCGCCGATGATGAAGAAGATTCATGAAACTCCTTTTTTCTTTTTCATCCCTGCAGATTATCTTCCTGTTTCCACGCGCAGGTGTGATCAGGAAGTAAGTATTTGAATGTGGGAGATAACTTCCCCAGGAACATGGGCTTTTAGTGTCGACCTTGTGCGTGGCTTTATGCACTGTTTTTACACAATTACCACAATTATATTTAATTAAATCCAACATAGGCCGAGGAGATGTTGGAAATAGAAAGCCTCGGGTTCAAGGGTTAAATCTTTTCACGAGTGCAGAGCAGACCACAGGGAAGTTCAGAAGAGCTAGCTGCAATAAAAGATTTACATTATCGTGCGAGGATGCTGAACTCATAAGTCCAGTTTTCTTCCTCTGTAACTTTTGACCTCTCATTAAATTTCTTACACTTCATTATCAGGCCATAATATCACATTTTCTCCTCTCTGTCTCTCTAACACATGGGATTAAACGTGGTTGGAATACACAAACACATTAGACGATGCTCATGAATACAGCTCTGTCTCTTTTGGTCTCAGTTGGCATTTCTCTCCCACACAAAACATTTAATACCGCAAAATAATTCTTCTGCATGACACATTTGGACGACCGGCAGAGTTTCTATTAATACATTATTGAAAGGATCTCAGCTCAGAGTAAGCCTGCGCTGCTGCTGTTAGTTTTTCTAAAAGTCAACAAACGAGTCTCTGTTTATGCGAAAAACACGAATTTGTGTCGATGTTTGTGCAAATATGGAAGATGATGTAAAGCCCTAAACTGGAAGTCAATGCAAATAATTAAATACTGAGCTTGTTCTTTAGACCAAAGCTGACCTGAAATGTTTTTAATGCAGTTGGAAATACACATCATTATGTAAAACGTATGCTAAACAATCTTCATCGAGAAGAATCGAGTTGGAAATGTGAGATTAAGTACTTTAAGTAAGAAATACTTTTAACCAAACATGAAATATGTCGTCCATGTTTCAAGAATAGAGAAACAAACATATCCGTAAAAACAGACAAAGGTGCATGAAAAAAACAGAGAAAATATGAATTAAACACACTTAAAAAGTACCTGAAAGCAGCATGTTTACGGATATTTTCCGTATCTGCTCTTGGTCGAATCCCCTCCCTCTAGATTTCCTTCTTTTACTCGTGGATTTGCGTCGTGCACCAGGCTGGTGTTGTGTGAAGCGGTGCATTTTTATTCCCTGGGAGTTTCCCTGGTGGAGTTTCAGATTTCCCCTCCCAAGGTCGTCCCCAAAAACAAAACTGTGCAGAATATCATCAAACGGATGCTGAGGCGGCTTCTCGTATGTTCTCACAAACACACCAAAAAGCACACACTCGTATTAATCTACTGTTAATTTGTGCGATTGTTGATAAATGACGACCTAACTGCATTAAAACACAAACTCAAAGTATAAATATAAGACACACACAGCCTCCACACTTCTGTCTATCTTACGGGGATTCCTCGCCTCTCAGACGTTTTTGGGGAGAAGGATCTGAAAGTCGAGCTCACGGATGAGGACGAGAACTTAATCCTTAGAAATTTGAAAAATCGTCGGGAGAATTGAAAACAAGATTAATCCGGTTTAAAAACAGTGAGTTTCCTGGACTCCCTTCAGGCTGCAGAGAGTGAGTTAGCAGCATAATAAGAGGCGCTGGAGGAGTGAAGACGACGCAGGTTTTCTGGTTCACACCGACCAGAAATCGATTTTCTACCAGACTTACAAACCTGAAAAATACAGCTGAGGATCTGTCATGTCCTGCATTATTTCAGACTCAAACAATAAAGCACATAGTGAGTCATTTTTTAATCTTATAATGAATTTTTAGGTCATTTGAATAGTTTAAAGACCCACTCCGATGAATATCATGTTTGTCTTGTCTACATGTTCATTTTTCTGATTCTACAGGACATAGCATGCGAAAAGTAAGTGCAAAATTGCATTTCTGAGTATTTCTGCAGACCCAAACAGCAGGCACAGAAACAGTGAGATTTCCTATGTCACAAATCCAAGCTCCGCCCCCTGAGCCCTGCTCTGCAGGCTAGACTCTGAGAAAAAGAGAGGACGATCGCGGAACAAGCGTGTGCGTTAGCGGATTGCAATGCCACATGTCCTTATTTTTAGGGGATGTTCTACCGTGTCCGGCTTTGTCTGGGGAAGTTTATAAAATCCTTTAAATGTTCCGGGTTTTGTAAGGAAGTTTCGAGTTTGTGTCACGTGGACTTACTGAGTTAGAAGCATGTAAAAGACACTCGATCTGACTCGGAAAAACTCTCAAAATTAGTTGCGTAGTCGTGTCCTCCTTTTGGGAATTCAGAATATGGTCACCCAAGAGTAGCTCCTATTTTACCTGCTTTTTCTTTTACACCGACAGTGTTAGGCTACAAGCTAGCACAACATTGTCTCCGCCCACGACTCAGAGGCGAATTGCTAATGAGCGACTGGAGCTCTGCAGAAGAAGTCCTTCAAAGTAACAGTTGTGATTTTGGCTACAAACTTCATAATCATAATCTAAAGACCACTGAGAACATCAAGTAGTAAAAAAAACGATCAGAGCGGGACTTTAATTCATGCACACCGACTTGAATGACTGTTTAGCTTTTGTTGTCGAGATTCTGATTCATCTAACTGGACAAAAATCCACTTGTTAAGTCTTTCCTCTTGCAAAGATCAGAGATCTTAATCACTTTGTTGAAATCCCGATCCTCTCTTTCTTCTCATCAAGAAACCCGTTGCGCATATTTCAGCAGAAGAGCCTCTAAAAGAAAACATCGTTGAGGGGTCAATGACGAGTTCACTCTGCACTAAAGCTCTCGGCGACGGCGTTAATCGTGAGGCGCTCTCAGGGAAAAGAGGTGTTTGCAGCAGAAATAATAGCAGCAGCAGCAGCAGTAGAAGAGGCCGTTCCCAAAGAGCTGGATATACTCACACTATTGATCCGGCGGGGACAGCAGCACAGTGGCTTTACAATCACGTCTCTCCCCGGAGAAATCTGTGCTCCGCTCTGCATTGGCAGTTTGTTACCGGAGAAGCATTGACACACTGACACACTGATGAATGTCTTGGCGCCTGGGGACGTACTTAATAAACATTTTATTAGCTCCCGTAAACAGCCTGCAGAGAGTCAAAGACATGCTTGTTTGACATTTGGATGCATTCGGCTGATTGGCAATTCATCATCTTGCTTCACACTCTGCAAGGTTGCCCTTCTATTCATAATTCATCTGCCTATTCACTGAATGCTTTCTAATTCAATAAATTATCAGGAAAATTAGTCCAGGAAAAGCATAATACCACTAATCACTCGCCGGGCCTTGAAATCTGAATACATAAATGTTAAGTAAAAGAAATTCAATTATGATTAAAGTAATTTGTTGCTACAAGCTTCAGCTCTTTTGTTATTTTCATGGAGAGCAGAAATAAACAGTCAGAGGTGAAGATAATTACTAAAAATAAAGACTTTCAGAGCTGACCATTGTTTAAAAAGAGGACGCCTGCTGTGTGAAGGGCAGCGGGAATAAAAGAGGAAATAATGAGAGAGTGGAAAGTAATTTGGTGATAATCTTTCACGAGTTTTAATAATGATCGCTTTTTAGGTAGTTAATAGTTTTTTTTCCTGGTCATAATGGTGGAAATGAGCGGTATTAAATCACAACTTTGTGGTCAGGGTTCAAGGTTATGACGGTAAAGGTTGTGAGGTGTGGGCAATACAGCGAAATCGACTATATCCATCAAGATTAATGTCCAAGGATAGTGATGGAAGTCCAAAGTATAGGATTATAATAAACGCCCTTAAATATTATAAAAAAAAGACTATTTCTCAACAGCTAAAGTGCCAATAGCTATGTTAACATGAGCAAAATTACTTGATCCAATTAAAAATTTTAGGGACCAGGTAATCTGAATCCATGGGTGCAAAACGTGGCTTGATGAGGAGAAAGTCAGTGATATGAGACTGGAAGGATATGAATTATTTACAATGAACAGGGTGAACAAAAAGGGAGGGGGGGTTGCCTTATATGTGGATAGAGCTTTGAGATGCAGCCAGATTGAATGTATGTCAAACACAATAGATAATATATTGGAATGTTTAACCATTGAAATCCATATTAAAAAAGCTGATAATATAATTATAAGTTGTGTTTATAGAACACCAGGATCATGCCTAGACACATTCAATGAAAAACTAGCGGCC